CCAAGATGTTAAAATAGGTATTCTGAATATCATAGCTATGGACAAGATTATAAAGGTACATATGAATTAATAAGGAGAGAAATTGAAAGTGTAAAAATTATACAAGTAAAGTCCTAGGGATAAACAAAAATCATCTGAAATGAAAAATAAACCAGATGAATTCAACTGCAGATTAGAAATTGCAAAAGAGATCAGTGAACTTGAAAATGTGGAATAAAAACTATGCAAATTTAACAGAGAGAAAAATAAAATGACAGAGATTGAGTGACCTATGGGCCAATAATTAGCAATCTTATATATGTATAATCTTGCCGAAATAAAGATGAATACTTTTTAAAAATAATTTTACTTTCTTTTTCCCTGTGCTGAGTCTTCGTTACTGTGCAGACTTTTCTCTAGTTGTGGAAGCAGGGGCCTCTCTCTGTTGGAGTGTGCAAGATTCTTTTTGGGGTGGCTTCTGTTGTGTGGAGCACAGGCTGTGGATGCAAGGGCTTAAGTAATTGTGGCATGTGACTCAGCAGTTGCGGTTCCCAGGCCCTAGAGCACAGGCTCAGTAGTTGTGGTACTTGGGCTTAGTTGCTCCATGGCATGCGGGATCTTCCCAGACCAAGGATAGAACTCCTGTCCCTGCATTGGCAGGCTGACTCATCACCACTGAGCCACCAGGGAAACCCAAGAAGCCCACCAAGTCCAAGCCCACCACTTAAGCCCCCTCTTAAGACAAACACCAGTAATGCCCTTCTACAAGGTCAAAGGAGGTTCTTCAGGTGGAAAGCAAACATGAGATTGAAATGTGGATTTAAGCAATGGACTGAAGAGCACTAGAAATTGTAAACGTGGATAAATATGGAAGACATATTTCTCATCTTTAACAGTTTTTAAGTTGACTGTATAAAGCAAAGGTAATGTATATTTTTAATAATTTGTAATACATGTATAAAAATGCACAACATAGTGAAATGGATAAGACTGAGGAAATATTAATAAAAGTGTTAAAAGTGTACTGGAATGGGTTTTATACTGTCTACGTGAAATGGTATGTTATTTGAAATTAGACCATAATAAGTTCAAGAAACACATTCAAAATTGTAGAATAGCCATTAAAAAATATAAAAAAAACAGAAGGTTAATAATCCAAAGAGAGGAATATAATGGAAAATTTAAAGTACTAAAATAATTTTTAAAAGAAGGAAAACTTGAAAACGAACCAAACAAACAAACAAAAAACAGATGAAATAGATAGAAAGCAAATAGTGGATAGCAAGATGATTGATGTAAATATCAATAACCGCTGTTGTTTAGTTGCCCAGTCATGTCTGACTCTTTTGCAACCCCATGGATAGGGATTTTTCATGCAAGAATACTGGAGTAGGTTGCCATTTCCTACTCCAGGGGATCTTCCCAAGCCAGGGATCGAGCTGCATCTCCTACATTGGCAGGTGGATTCTTTACCACTGAGCCACCAGGGAAACCCATACACTTGACATCATGCAGCAAAAAAAAATATGCTACTTCTGTGATCTTCCTCTTCAAATCCTATAACCCCTGTCTAATCATTGGAGAAACAGAAACAAATTACAGCTGAGGGGAATTTGGCAGCATTGACTTGATACGAAGGGCTAACTCATTTGAAAAGACCCTGATGCTGGGAAAGATTGCGGTCACGAGGGGAAGGGGACGACAGAGGATGAGATGGTTGGATAGCATCACCGACTCACTGGACATGTGTTTGGGGACTCCAGGAGTTGGTGATGGACAGGGAGGCCTGGCGTGCTGCGGTTCATGGGGTCGCAGAGAGTTGGACACGACTGAGCGACTGAACTGAACTGAACTGAACTGAACTCAGCTGAACTCTTCACAGTTGTCCAGGTCATCAAAAACAATGGAAGCCTGGGAGGCTGTCACAGAAGACATGACAGGTATAGGCAGTGTGTTATCCTGGATGGGATTTTGGAACCAAAAATGAACATTAGGTAAAAACTAAGGAAGTCTGAATAAAATACGGACTTTAGTTAGTAATTATCTCTCAGTATTAGTTCAATAATTATAACAAATACCATGTTAAATTAAGAAATTAATAATTGGAGGGACGGGGTGAGATATATGGAAATTTCTCATTTTTGTTGTAGAAATCTAAAATTGTTCAGAAGATTTTTAAATATAAAAATATATACTTTTAAATTTAAAAATATATTATAAATTTATGTATATATGAATCTAAGACAAATTACTATATTAAGTATTTAGCTCTAAAGATAAAAGAACAGAGTAAAAACAAACCTATTTCTAAAGTAAACAAAAATCACAAAACGCATATAAGAACAAAAATAACTCCATAAAATTTGCTCTTAAAAATAATTTTAAGACTATATATAAAAAAGAAACAAATACCAGATATATATCCTCAGAGATGTACAGATAAAGGAAATAGTAGAGCTAGGTGGAAACAGCAAAACACACACACAACCAAATGCTAATAAAAAGGAAGGTTAGCAATATTGACATTAGACAACACTAAGTATATGATAAAAAGCTTTAATAGATAAAAACTATCTATTATATAAATATTTATCATATAAAACTTTATCATATAAAACTATTTATCAATATAACTGTATTTATCATATAAAAATATTTATCATATAAATATTTATCACATAAAAACTATATGATAAAAAGCTTTAATGAACAAGGATGCTACTTAAATGATTAAAAAAAAAAAACCACCATATGACCCAGCAATTCCACTACTAGGCATATATCCTGAGGAAACCAAAACTGAAAAAGACACATGTATCCCAATATTCATTGCAGCATTATTTACAATAGCTAGAATATGAAAGCAACCTAGATGTCTGTTGACAGATGAATGGATAAAGAAGTTGTGGTACATACACACCATGGAATATTACTCAGCCATAAAAAGGAAAGCATTTGAGTCCATTCTATAAGGTGGATGAACCTAGAGCCTATTATACAGAGTGAAGTAAGGCAGAAAGAGAAAGATAAATATTGTATGCTAATGCATATATATAGAATCTAGAGAAATGACACTGAAGAATTTATTTGCAGGGCAGTATTGGAGAAACAGACATAGAGAATAGACTTATGGACATGGGGAGAGGGGAGGAGAGGGTGAGCTGTATGGAGAGAGTAACATGGAGACTTACATTACCGTACGTAAAATAGATAGCTAACGGGAATTTGCTGTCTGGCTCAGGAAACTCAAACAGGGGCTCTGTATCAATCTAGAGGGGTGGGATCGGGAGGGAGATAAGAGGGAGGTTCAAACAGGAGGGGATATAGTGTGTACCTATGGCTGATTCATGTTGAGATTTGACAAAAAATAACAAAATTCTGTAAAGCAATTATCCTTCAATTAAAAAATAAATAAAAAAGCATAAACCTAACAAGGTGGCATTCAAATTAGAGGTGCAAAAAGTAATAGAATTATAAAAAAAGTTATATATTCATACAAGGACATACTTTAGCATACTTCTTCGAGAAATATATTATGTGAAAGAATCTAATAATAATTTAGAAAACTCGAAGATCACTATTAAAGAGTTGATTTAACCTGCACATAAACAATATACAACTTTTTCAAAAACATGATCATTTAAAAAATTGAAATTGGTAACAAATAATGAACAAGAACATATTAGAGAAACTTCTAAAAGCTATTAAGTCATTTTTCAAAAAAGAATAATTGAATAAGTATGTTGATGGAAAGCCTCAATATTAAAAAAATGCAAACTCTCCTAAAATTAATATAATTCAAATTAATGTTTTTTCTTCATATTACTGTTCTTGTTGGAATTTGGCAAGTCATGTGGAAGAAAATTTGTCCAAGCATACTGAAGACAGTTGTGAAAAAAAAAAGAATGAATAAATAGCACAATCATCTTTCCAGACATAAAAAACAGCAACACTTTTCTTCTTTCCATTCTCCCTCCTTGGTCTTCTGTCCTCACCACTTTATTTTTCACAGTCTAGCTTTCCTCTCCCTATTCCTTCCTTCCTCCCTTTTTTCTTTCTTAATTATTTATGTAACTTAATCCTATAATGGAAAGAGAAGCTTCAGCCAAGATATTGGAAAACAATGTTCTGTTTAGTGACTTCTCACACACTTCTGACTTACATTATAATTTCAAGAATACCTTATCCTAATAAGTAGTCAATATTCTTTGACTGAGCCATCAGATATATCCTAATGAAGGAATACCTTTGAAATAATTCTTCTCAGATAGTGAGATGGATTCCAAATCGGATTCTAGTAAAATAGATGAAATAGTACCAATCAGGGGATTATCATGATATCAGTGCTTTATATATTATAAATTAGCATTATAAATTAACTTAAATTTTTGTATAATTTTAATAAATCATAAGATATCTCACTTTATTAAATACTGGTCTTACTCTTAATTCTGATTATGACTTTCTTTTATTCAGTCTATAGATATATAAATAGTATAAAAGAGAGAGTATATCTTTCTATATCTCTAGTATATAGAGACAGCAGATTTTTTGTTGTAAATTTACCAACCAAATTAGCCACAGAAAAATTATAAGAAAAAAATGTTTCAACTAAATTTGTACTGAACACTTTAGTGCTTACAATAATACAGCATTCATAGAAGCATTTTATGCCTAATGCCATAAATTTCACTCTTTCCCTCAAAGGTGATGAATAACAATACTAATAATAGTGGCAATCGTTTATTGAATGATGACAATAAGCCAAGCTCTCAATGCTGAGCATTTTATACATATTACCTTCTTACAAAGTTTCAGCGGATGGAAATTATTCTTGTCCTCATTTTACAGATGACTCTTAGGCTGGTATATGCTAGAGATATGATTCAAATCTATGTAATCAGACTCAATGACACTTAACCACTTTTAAATAAAAACAGTGAAATGTCTATTTGGTTTTCTTAAATGAAGAAAAACTTATATTTGTACAGATATTGATTTGTAACCCATACTTTTCTAGAATGGGAAGTAAGGTAACTTTTAAAATTATTTATATATTAGATTGTATTTCTGGTCCCAATTTTTCACTGTTCCCTATAATGCCCTTTACTATGTGGTGTTACAGTTTATCTCACAAGAGAGTGAGAAATGTTCATTTCTTCATCCTTGAATCTGAGCTTTGTCATGAGATTTGCTTTGGCCTTTTCACACCAGTTCTGAGCACAGGCTGCAAGAGATTTTATATATTTCCACTTCTGTGTTGTGTGCCTGAAAACATGGAAACCTGCCTCAGCGAGCCTGCAGATGGTGAAAGATCTACACTGTAGAACTGAGCTGTCCAAACTGTCCCAGCTGAAGCCAATCTAGGCCAGTCTAGGTTAGTTACTTCCGGCCAACCTCCAAATGTGTAAGCCCAGTCCAGACAATTAGGGCCACCCATCCAATCTCTGAATCAACCACCAAAGAATTGATGCTTTTGAACTATGGTGTTGGAGAAGACACTTGAGAGTCCCTTGGACAGCAAGGATAACCAATCAGTCCATCCTAAAGGAGATCAGTCCTGAATATTCATTGGAAGGACTGATGCTGAAGCTGAAACTCCAATACTTTGGCCATCTGATGCAAAGAACTGACTCATTTGAAAAGACCCTGATGCTGGCAATGATTAAAGGTGGGAGGAGAAGGGGATGAGAGAGGATGGGATGGTTGGATGGCATCACCGACTTGATGGACAGGAATTTGAACAAGCTCTGGGACTTGGTGATGGACAGGGAGGCCTGGCATGCTGCAGTCCATGGGGTCGCAAAGAGTTGGACACAACTGAGCAACTGGACTAAACTGAACTGATCCAATCCCTGTGGCAACAAATGCCAATTATTATATGTCATTGAGATTTTTGTGACTGCAGATGATCCATTATTATTATGGCTATAAATAACTGCCTGAATAAAAATTTCAATGAGCAGAGATTGTGAGTGTTCACCTTATTCTATATCCTAGAGCTAGAATAGTTATTTAAACAGACAAGGTTTCTGTAATCTTTGCAGAGATTACATTCATACAAGGACACAGATTTTTTAAAATGTGTACAAGATACTTTCAGATAGTTAAAGGTACATGAAGAAAATCAAACCAGATGGTGTAATAGAGACTGACTGGGAAACAGAAGATGTGAGGCATAGAATGTGATCAGGGAAGGAAACATTGTGGAGTGGCATCACTATTGATTTCAGAAAGGGACATTTGGGCTGGTACTTCATAACAAGGAGTCAGCCATGCTAAGATCTGAAGGCAGACCATCTTAGGCAGAGGAAACAACCAGTGCTAAGTCAAACTCTAGTCTTGTGTTGAGAGTTGAATTTTGTCCTGGATAAAGACACGTTCAAGTCCTAACCACCAGTACCTATAAATGTGGCTTTATGTAAAAAAGGGTCCTTGCAGATGCCATCAAATTGAGATGAGATGAGATGACTGGTACCTTTATAAGAAGAGGGAAATTTGGATATTTGGACAGAGACAGACATACTCAAGGAGAGTGCCATGTGAAAACAGAGACCAATTCAAGCATTTAGAGACCAAAAAATCACCAAGAACTGTCAACAATGACCAAAAACTAAGAGAAAGGCATGGAATAACTAGTTTCTTCCCTAAGATCCTCTAGAAGAAATCAACACTGCCTACACCTTGCTTTTAGACATCTGGTCTCCAGAACTATGAGAGAAAAAATTTCTGTTTTTTTAAGGCAATCTGCTGTTTGCAGTACTTTATCACAGCAGCCCTAGGAAAGGAATACAGCTCAGAACAAATTTGGTGGATTATAAGACCTGAACGAAGATTTAGGAGCTACAATATGGTGGATGAGGAGGTTAAGTGTAGAAGTTGGATTGGGAGAGAGAGACTCAAGGATCCCAATATTTAGGGAAATGAGTTATTTTTTAGTTTTAAAAGCAAGGAAAGAAGGGAATGAAACTAAAAGAAAACAAGGGAAGGAAAGATATAATGAAACCAGCAATAAATTTAAGTAGGCAAGTATTCATTTCATGGGTTCCCCATACTTGTTAGAAATGCATTATGAAAATTGTCTTAAATTTTCTATCATCCTCTGCAGAGAGAAACTGATGAATCAAAGTCCTCTTAAGATAACAGCAATCTGGTTGCCAATCACAGACAAGATAAAGTCTAAGTTCCTTGGCATGTCATAAAAGTCCCTCCATGATTTATTTCTGCTTATCTTTTCCACTTCACTTTCATTCATTCCTTTCCTCACTGTTGTTGTTCAGTTGCTAAGTTGTGTCTGACTCTTTGTGACCCCATGAACTGCATCACAGGGAAGGACAGGCTTCCCCGTCCTTCACTATCTCTGGGAGTCTGCTCATACTCATGTCCATTGAGTTGGGGATGCCATCCAACCATCTCATCCTTTGTCACCCCCTTCTCCTGCCCTCAGTCTTTCCCAGCACCAGAGTCTTTTCCAATGAGTTGGCTCTTTGCTTCAGTTGGCCAAAGTATTGGAGCTTCAGCTTCAGTGTCATACACGAAAGTAATCAAATAGATTGTCATAATTTCAATGCACCATTTATTTCTGCCTTCCATGTTTGCACATGCTATTTGATAAAATATCTTATCACCATCAGCCCCACATTCATTTACCAGTTTCTTCTTTATTATTACATTCGTTCATTCAACATTTGAACTTCTTCTCTGTACCAGGCATCTTTAGCATTAAGGTATAGTAATAAATAGAGTGTTTCCCTGGTGACTCAGGGATAAAGAATCCACCTGCCAATGCAGGAGATGCAGGTTCAATTTCTGGGTCAGGAAGATCCCTTGGAGAAGGAAATGGCAACTGCTCCAGTACTATTGTCTGGGAAATCTAATGGATAGAGAAGCCTGGGGGGCTTCACTTTCTGGAGTTGCAAAGAGTTGGGCACGACTTTGAGACAAAACAACTAACAACTATAAATAGGATACATATATTCCTTTTTTCCCCATAGAGTTATGGTCTAGCAGGCTAGGCTGAAAAATAGAAAATTAATTACAATTGTGCCAAATGTAATGAAAGAAAAATACAAAGCATAGGGCAGGGAGAGCCTGACCCAGGCGTAGAAGTTGAGAATTGGCTTCAAATTGAGAAATAATGGTTGAAAAGAATTATCTACACAAAGAATGAGGCTGCCTTTCCAGTCAGACAAAGCTGCATGGTCAAAGGCCATTGAAATGAAAAGAAGTATTTCATGTTCCAACAATCTGAGATAAACTGCTTCTCCTTTCTCTCTCTCTTTCTTTCTTTGTACCTCCCTACTCCTGTTTCTTCCTCCTTCCCTTCCTCTTTCTCCCTCTTCTCCTCCCTACCTCTTTGGTTGTTGATTTTTGTTTCAACTCAGAAGAGGTGGTATAGCATCATTTATTATTTGCGTAGAAAATTATTTAAGATATGCCCCTAGTCTCCTTATCCATTCAATAGGAATAGTAAAACTCCTTAACACTTGGATTGTATTCAGGATTGAATGTGACTGTGTGCCAACTGCCTCAAAAACTTAGCTATTGTTCTATTTATTCATCTATTTTTCATTGAGCATTAACTATCAGTTTTACGTGACAAGCCTAGTCATAAGCGCTTTGTATAGACATGGTCTAACGAAATCTTTACAGACTCATACAAGACAGGTGTTACTATTTCCATAAGGAGAGAACTAGGGCATAGAGTGTTTAAAAAACTTTTTCATAATAACACAATTGACAACCTTCACTTGCCCCTAAAGCTTAGGTTTTTTAAACACTACAGTACAATCCTTTCATGAGTTTCATGAGTTAAACACAACAGTATGTTTTATCCTGTCATCTTTTTTAAGAAGGAAATATGTTCTTTGATATATCTGACTCTGACAAAGCTGTTTAGCTTTGTTTAGGTATAGAGAGTCTGAACTCAAATGTAGGATAGAAACAAGATAAGATAGCAGGACTCTTCGGCTCATAAGTAGCTACTGCAAAGTTAAATCACTGGGGAAAAAAAGTATAGAAAGCAAAGTGATTGTTGCAAGAATGTAAAACAAAATAAGTCAATCAAAGTGCAGCCATTATGTTGTTCATTTTTGAGTACTATAATGTCCTTGCCAACCCAGCTTAACGACACAGATCATTTTCCAAATATGTATAATTTGGGAGATTTCCAAAAAACCATGGGGTAGATCATTAAAAGCTCCAATTAGCCAATGGCCATCATTTCAGCCTTCTGTCACCATCCTCTTCCTTCCCCAGTTCCCATGAGGCTGATGCTTTATGATAACAACCCTCAATGTGGGCTAGTGGCCTAAGAGATCAGAAAAAGCATTTATATCAATTGGATCTCAGTTTACAGTTCTCTGATGGTCTAGTTCAGATATATATTTTAGGGTACAACGGGTAAATATTAGGACAGTATCCCCTTTCTTTCAACAATGCTTTTGCATTACAGAATGTAATACATTCTATGATAAGAACCTGAAGTGAAAATCATCTGTACTTATTAAGTCCAGATAATCTGTGCATCATTTGAGTTGGGGAAGACACTCCATGTTTTTAATCACACTACAAAGTCTATGCAGCCATGAAATTAAAAGACACTCCTTGGGAGAAAAGTTATGACCAACCTAGACAGCATATTAAAAAGCAGAGACATTACTTTGCCAACAAAGGTCTGTCTAGTCAAGGATATGGTTTTTCCAGTAGTCATGTATGGATGTGAGAGTTGGACTATAAAGAAAGCTGAATGCCGAAGAATTGATGCTTTTGAAATGTGTTGTTGGAGAAGACTCTTGAGAGTCCCTCGGCCTGCAAGGAGATCAAACCAGTTCATCCTAAAAGAGATCAATCCTGAATATTTTCATTGGAAGGACTGATGCTGAAGCTAAAACTCCAATACTTTGGCCACCTGATGTGAAGAACTGACTCATTTGAAAAGACCCTGATGCTGGAAAAGATTGAAGGTGGGCGGATAAGGGGACGACAGAGGATGAGATGGTTGGATGGCATCACTGACTCAATGGACATGGGTTTGGGTGGACTCCGGGAGTTGGTGATGGACAGGGAGTCCTGGCATGCTGCGGTTCATGGGGTCACAAAGAGTGGGACATGACTGAGTGACTGAACTGAACTGAGTTGAACAAAGTCTATGGTAAGGAGTAATATAAATAGTAACAGACTCTCCAAACAAGAGGTTGTCACTGTTGGCCCATGATTGATACAAATTCATTAGGCATTTTCATGTGTCCTCAACTTCTGACTTCTCTATAATGGGGATCAAAACCTCCAGTCTACACCCTCATTGTAAGCAGATATCTATCTGGCT